ACCACATGACATTTTTTATCACACCTATTACCCTGACACATTGCTAGATATCAATCTGGGACGGCGAACATGAGTAAGTGATAAATTAAAAAGATGTTTTAATTTATCGATTTTGATTAGATCAAAATAGTAATTCACATCGTTAGATATCATGATTGAGAGCCTAATAGGTCACACACTAACGGAGAACTGAAAGATTGTGTTTTACCAATTAATTAATTTAACAAGCGTTGGATAAATTAATTAATTGTGTTACTTATTTATTGGCCCGAATTAATTAATTTATGGACTGAATTTAATTAAATGGATTAATTAAATCTTGGACTGGGTTACGAGATAGGCCAAACCCATTTGACTTTGTATAAAAAGGTAGCTAGAATTTTGGATCTATAGAGAAAATTCATTATTATTGCTGGTACAAGAAAAAACCCTAGTTGTCACAATCTATTTATTTGTGTGGATTACCATTGGAGGCTGGACAATTGGATATCTGTGGGTGATAGATCGATGTTGCTGAAACAAAAGAAAAGCAAAAAGTTTCCAGATCTCTTCAAAGGTATATTTTTTATCATAATTTCTATCTAAATACAAAGAGATCCTTAGTGGGAATCTAATGTTTTATTTTTCGCTGCACATGATAAGTAGATTTCCAACAGAACTAGCCGAAATGGATTTCATAGTGGCATGTAATAGCTTGCCGTTGAGTTTGACTGCATGACATTAGAAAACCCAATAATGTAAAATATGTACATCAATTGAAATAAAGCTGAAATTCCAAATAACCCTAGCATGATAGAGAAAAGGTTAGGAAAGCTCAAAAAGATAATGAATCGTAACCAATTTTGTAGTAACGCTATCTAAAACTATTTTGGTTCTAAAAGAATTCATAGCATGCTTGAACATAAAATTGGTTCAAGAATTCTAACTTTCAAAGATGAATTTAAAGCTCTTTTTTGTGGATGAATCACATTACTTTTCCAAACTTCAAAATCCACATTTTTAGCACTCCTATGATCCCAATCTCAATCAGAATGAAAAGAGATTATTGCCCACAATCTAAGTGTCAAATTTTGTGAATTTTCATGCCAAAATGTGGTTCTAGGAACTTTTCAATTTATCTATAATTTTCTATACAAATTTTACAGTGCTTTCTGTCATCTTTTTTCTCGAAAACTTTCAAGACAAAAGTGATGGGAGTTGTACAGAGTTATTGGGAGTTGATGGAAATTGAGAGAAGTCATAGGTTTGAAATCAATTCAAATAATTCTCTCCAACTCACTTCAATGTCTTGCGGGTCTGATCACCCTACATGGATGACCCATGATCTATAATTTTCAGTATATTCCACTCACACATGTTGGGGTTAACTTGAACTACATGTGACAACGAATAATAGTACGTGTAACTAGTGTACTATAAAACTATTATGGGTTTTTAGTAGCTTTATTAGAGAAATATTGTCGATTTTATATCTTACAAGTGTGCGGATTGTAATAATTAATGAAGTAAACATATGAATTTGAATAATCATTCACATTAGGACTACTATATAGTAGTTTGTTAAATTAGAAATTTGCTAAGTTGGTGTACACTTGGTTCGACGGCCTCTAATTGGGGGGTGGGACCCCATTTAGAGGGCTGTCAGCCTTCGGTGTACACCTAGCATTTCTTATTAAATTATTCTTAACTTTAATTCAATTGAAAACAAATAAAATTAGCAGCTATTTTCTTTTTGCAATTTTTTTTTTAAATGTAGTAAAACAATAAAACATGAATTTTTTTATATGATGATTTAAGTGTTAGGATTCATGACTTTACTAAAATTATTCCCTTAATCTCAATCACTAAATTTTATAACAACTGATTATGTCTATCCAGTCGAATTCTTCATACATATTCAATTTACTTCTCTCAAATTCAAATTGATTCTATTTAACTAAGTCAATTCCATATTTATTTGTGATTTCGAATAAATCTTAGTTAAATGTATAAATTCTCTAAGAATACATTTAACAACAGCTTTAATTAGAAAAGGTATCTCTATGCTTTTATTCCGGTTCCCAAATTTTACTACGTGGTCCAAACAAATAATCCGCCTCTTGACATAATTATCGCTCACAAAATCAATGAAATAATGGCCAATTAATTTAAGCATTAAGATTCGAAGTAAAATCCATTCATAAAATTAATTGGAGATTTAAAATATTTTAATTAAAATTAAGGTTCAAAACTATGTTACAATCATTCATCTTGACTAAATAATTAATTACACATAATGATAGAAGAATAAAACAAGAAAGAATTGAAGTACATCACCGATTTTAAGAAAAATGGAAAAAAATATGAAGATCTTGCACCAAGATTTTGCCTTCTTCTTTTGAAATCTTTGAAACCCAAGCTTCTTGATTGATTTCTTGATTATTTTATCCTTTTGAGCTTGTATAATTTGTTTACAATTAATTTACTAAGCCTTGGCTTGAATATATTTTTATAATGAAACTCTACGAAGCTCCTAAGCTCCACAACAATTCTAATCAAGTGGAATGAGAGGGTGACACACTCCTGTCACCTTTATTAAGGTGGAGATCCATTATTTACCTAACTTAGATGAGAACAAGTGAGGAAGTAATAGAGGAACATCTTATCGACTCAAAATCTTTAGTGGATTATCAGTTAGCATGAAGTGTGAGCTATTTAGTGAGTATTGTTGGCGATGAGAGGGGAGATGTATTCTATATACACATGTTACATGAAATGAGGTAGAGTAATTGGGGTGAGACTTTTTCTTAGAGATCATTTTTGCATTGGTTGCATATGTTGACTATTTATTTGATTAACTTCATATTAATTTTTTATTCTCCTATGTGTTGAACTTGTTGAAAGGATCTATGTGTATTATCATATGTTGTGCTTTCATCATATGTATAGTCCTATCTATAACTGTGTATTATTATGTGCTCTAGATTGACTCCTAAATGAATATAATGTGTGTTAAATTGCATTTAGCATGACATGTGTTGTTTCGTTTAAAATTGTATTACTTGTTAAGTGAGGTACAAAACGCGTGGTTTGACTCACTGTGTATTTTTATTTTGAACCTTGCTATTTATACATGGTGGCTTACACTTTGGTTGACACGACCCCACCACTCCTCTCACATGGGGAGGTCGGCTCCACACATTTGGGCGTGGGACCCGACCTCTCCCATGTGAGAGGTCAGATAGGGCCGTGTGAACCAAAGTGTAAACCACTATGTACAAATAGATTAATCTTTTTATTTTTTATTGCACTGGGGTTTGACCTTAGCTGTTGGTGAGTATTTTAGCAAGTACGGTATATATTTCGAATCAAGATATTCGTAAGGTCTGCGATTTTCAATTTATTTTTGGATACCTTGATTAGGTAAGTATTAACTTGGTGTTGTTTGCTTACAGATTTATTAGGTTTCAAGGTAGAAATTTGTTGGATTATTATTATTATTATTATTATTATTATTATTATTATTATTATTATTATTATTATTAAATGTAAGTATTGAATATTGTGGTTAAATAGATTATTGGTGGTACTTCATCCTTGATTGATCTTAGTCTTGTAATAAAACATTATAATGGAAGATACTCAACAACATGACACTACAAAAAATAACTAATTTCGCGAAAAGAAATGTTCTCACAAAAGTTGAAAGTTTGTTGCAAAAGTAATTTAGCGACGACAATATATTTGTTGCGGTTATTATCGCGCTATATGAGTTATGAAATGTGTTCTGCGACGATTTTCGATCATTCATTGCATTTACAAAATCGTAATACTGTTCGTTTGACGCAAAAAATATGAAATAGTAACATAATATTTGTAACCATAATGTCGTCGTAATGTGTATATGTCGCAAAAATTAAAAGGGCGAGTAGTTAGTTTGTTAATGAATATTCCAATAAAGTTTTTACGAAAAATATGTTTGTTGTGAATGTTGAGTCACAAAATGTATTATGTGACAACTTTCGTTCATTTTTTTTTTTTTTTTGGTTGGGGGTGACAGTTGAGATATATTGATGTGTAACCCTGTAGGTGTAGAAGGCGATAGAGGTGGAGGACATAATGGATTTGGTACAGGCGGCAGTTGTACATGCATTTTTGATGCAGTTGGTTGTTGTAGTGATCATGTTGGTACAAGCGATGATGTTGGCGGTGGTAATGTAGCCGTCGTGATAGTATTTGCGGTAGTGTTGGATGTCGTTATCGTGGTGGCAGCGACGGCGGCAGTAGTGCTGTTAGAAGCAATTGTGACTGTGACTCACAGTTGATTAATCGTGACTAATGTTTGGTTAATTTGTAATATGTGACCTAAAAATTGAGACTGACTCACAATTGAATAAATTGTGATCGAAAAATTAATAGTGACCAATTCATTTAATAATTTGCAATGAATAAATGAGTTGTGACCAATAAAAGTTTTGATTTTGTGATCGATTAGTAATTTGTTACCTATAAAATTTTTGACTTGTGAAAATGATCTTTGGCCTACAACATTTTTGATTTGTGATGGAGAAATAATTTATGACCAATAATTTGATAATTTGTGACTAAAAATTAATCTATAACTAATTAATTAGATTAATGCGACCAAATTATATAGAATTGGGGCTTGAATATATTTACGGGGGTATCCCCATTTCAGAGTTTAATAGATTTCTTAATATTTATAAATTCTCATGAATTGTGTAAAATTTGATAGAATTTAATAGATTTCATAAGATTTGAATGGATTTCCATTTTGTAGATTTTAAAAGATTTTCATGGATTTTATAGATTTCAATGGATTTTATAGATTCTGGGTAAAATTTATAAATATGCTTAACATAAGCCACAAATTTTTACTGAGTGCCATGCCCAAAGCCTTTGCTGCTAGCGGTAATCCTTTACATTTTTCCACTACTAGCTTTTCAATTTCTTCGATTATTTCCTGATCCCACTCTTCACCACTTCGACAAGCCCATCTTTTAAAGACATCCCAGGTTGCCTTTTCGGTTAAAAGTTCTAATCTGTCGATATAAGGCATACTAGTTATCATTTTTGCTATGTTTTCATCTTGTGTTGTTACTATGACTTTACTTCCCACATCACTAACCAGGAGAAGATTTCTCAGTTGGTCCCATCCCAAAGATTCTATGTTCCATACATCATCTAACACGATAAATAATCTCTTCCCCATCAGTTTTTCTTGGAGAAGATCTTTCAAATCTTGAAGAGAAGCGTCTGTTGATAGTTCTAAGCTGCCAATGATACGTTTTATCATATCATGCAACTCGAAATGTTTTGGAACGTAAACCCATTTTCTCATGTCGAAAACCTGTTTAACTCTTTCATCGTCATAGACCAATTGGGCAAGCGTGGTTTTACCCAAACCCCCCATTCCCACGATCGGGATCACCGAGAGTCTCTCCGTGCTTGAATTCCCGATGAGTTCATGCACTATTCGTTCCTTATCATCGTCTCTTCCAAAAACATCTGCTGATTCACCCAAAAAGGAAGTGGTTTCCCTCGAAAGATTTGTATGTACAAGTGATGTATTTTGATCTGGAACACTGAAATTTAACGCTTCCGAATTTGAAGCAATATCATTCAATCTCTTCCTAATGTTTTGCATCCTGTGGGACATCTTATATAGAAAAGCTGGGCGTGAGCAAATACGAGTTACCTTATCTGTAAAGCGATTCTCCACTCGCTGTCTCTTAGCTTCTGTCTGGAAATCATCAACTACTAATTTGATATCTTCAACAAGATCTTCAAGCTTTTTTACCCGGTCACGTTCTTGATTGCTCCTATTCGGTTGCATTTCTGAATCTAAGATAGCGCATTCGAGTGAAGACAACAACTCATTGAGTCTCTGAAATTCGCCTTTGACACCACATACAAGTTTTATCTCTCCAAAGAGAGAGGAACTCAACTGACTGGAGAGTTCTCCCAACATGCTGCGGACAACTGCTTCCCCCATGTCCGGCTTCAGCTTTCACTTGAAAATGGCAAAATCTAGAGTAACAAACCAAATGAAGAATGAGAAATACAGATTATTCTAATTTCTTGGCCAATGGGCTTATAGTGGTTATGTAAGGAAAAACGCGGTTTCAACAACAACTATTCCTGGTACTCTTCGTTAAAAATCAACAAGTAATGTTCAAATCTCTTATTTTTATATATCGATTAAACGACCAGAAATGCTTATTAAGCAAAGTCAACTCTCCTCCAACTCATCAATTAATCTGTTAATAGGATATCTAATCACTCATGAAAGAAATATTAAAACAGCTAGTTTACAGTAAAATGCATGTCTTCATTCTGTTATATTTCTAACAGTTTGCTTACACTTCAAATAAACTACATTGTTACCGACTTTCTTTGCTTGTGGGCTTCTAGTACATGAAACCAGGGTCTCCGTCACATCTACCTTCTACCTGCCGTTGTATCCCAGTGGGAGACAGACACCATTAGTCTTATTGCACCACAATGGAGGGAAAATTTGTTTTAAGGAAGCTATGTGTAACACAAGCCTTGGTTCCTTCCAATACCACTCTTACATCAACAACCAGATTTCCTCTCTTTTATTATTACTCTATTTATTATAACTTTTTTTTTTTTCATTATTTTACAATTTCAGCAGTTTTTCTTTTTTCTTTTTGCATTTTTCTTAACACTACTCACACTCATCTCTGTTGAAGAGATCAATAAGCAATATTGAAATCCAATCGTAAAGTTTGTCTCTTTTCTTTTTAAATCCAAAATGACCATAACATGCAAGCCGTTGTTATTTGTTAGAAGAATAAATGATATGGCTCATCGCAATCTTGATGCGAACGTTAGAGATATTCAGATGAATACACTGTCTCTTTTACACAGTACAATATGTGCATATACATATCATAGTGAAATAATTAATTCACAAAATAAGTAAATTCAATTGGACCACACGATGCAAGAAAGTGTTTTACAAGCCAAAAACATCGAAATATTGACTTGTACCCACATTACAAATATCTCATAGCAAACATGTCGTAAAGGCACAAGGATACAAGAAGTTGTTAATAGTATTGAGTGCGAAACTTTGCCATTAAACAACCAAGAATGATAAGATTCATCTTAAAACTTGAACATCAGAATACCTTTTGGTAGCCTGCAAATTTTCTCTGTTGATCTGCTAATTATACAAGCCAAAATGAAGAATGAGAAAAACAGATTATTCTGATTTCTGGCCAATGAGCTTTTCTTATAAATGAAAAACACGGTTTCCATTATTTGTATTCCCGGTCATCTCTGCTGAAAATCAACAAGTAATATTCAAATCTTGTTACTTTTTATATTCAGATCAGTTAGACAACCAAAATGCTTATGAAGCAAAGTCAACTCTCCTCCAACTCATCAATGAATCAGTTTTAGGGAATCAAAAGTGGTTCAATACAGGAAGAATGCATTTGTCTTTCATCCTGTTATTTTCTAACAATTTTCTAACACTTGCTTTTAAACAATATTATATAGCCGACTTTCGGTCACCATCATCTTTACTCCCACTCATCTTTGTTGAAGAGATCAACAACCAATATTGAAAACAAGAAACCATTTTTTGAAGAAAATAATGCACAAATGATATGGTTCTTTAAGATATTTAGCCCCTGTTTGACAAAAATTTAGAAGAGTTTAATGAGTTTTGAAATTTTGACTTTTTGGACAATGTTTGGTTAAAAAGTACGAAAAAATTTTGGGTTTACGTGCATAATATTTTATTGTAAGAATGTGTAGTTGAAAATGAGTTTTAAAAAAAAGAGCTCTATAAAAATTATTGTTTAAGAGGGGGCTTACATTGCTTGTCTGTCACTTTTACGTAGAACATTGTGTGCAAATGGTAAAGAAGAATAATAGAGTGTGTTTCATTTAAAGAGTCTAGTCAAACAAAACATTAAAAAGTCCATCAACTATATTTTTTAGGTAGAAGGACTAATGATATGGAAAATGAAAAATATAATTTATAAATGACTAAAATGTCCTTACATACAAAAAGACATTATTGCCCTAATTCCCATTTTCAATTCCCATTGGACCCTAATTAAATTCTACCTTCTATTTGTTCATCAAAAACCGGTTGTATAGGTATGCAATCTCTTTCTTTCTCATTATCATTTTTCTCTACTTAATGAAACCATAAACTCTACATTACATTTCCCTTGAACACTCATTTGATTGAAGTGAATAATAAAATCTTGCAATATTATTATTGGGTATTTGGAGAAGAAGAGTGTTGTAAATTTTTAATTTTTAGACTTGAATAATTTCTTCATGTTGTTATATATATGTTTATAGTTTTCATTTGTGAACAATGATTTTGAATTCATTTTAACATTGGATTAGAGTTTTGATATGGATTACTTCCCAACCCTTTCTCATTACCATCATTTGTATCAGTTAGAGTGAAATGTAAGTTGGCAAAGACATGTATGACTATTTTTTTAATTAGTCTATTGTAAATCGGCTTACATGTCGTTTTTTGTAATCCATAATGACTTACATATCGTTGTCAGTACTTTACAATATTTGAAATTTGATGAAATTTTTATATTGAATTACAGTTATAGACATCTTGAATATGGTATGGATATCAGTTCGTTATCTAATTGAATATGAGCAGTCAGTTGAAAGTATGTGGAAATGGAAATATGTAGGGAATGGCAAAGGAAAGAAAAAAAATCTTATTCTTGTGGTGAAAACTATTTCTTATGTGGAATTGTATGATAAAGTTAAAGAGGTGTTGAACGTCGATACAAGGTTATATAAAATGGAGATTTCAGCTGTTGCCCCTATAATGTCTAAAGCTCCAGCTGTTCTGACCGTAATTGATTGTGACAAAAATAAGAAGTGGTTTCTATCTGTCTGTAGATAAACTTTTCTTTGTGTAACTCTTTCGAATGAAGTTGAAAATCAAGAAGATTTTGATATGAAGAATGTTTATTGTTAATAGAGAGTAGATGACAAATTGCAAATATGAACAATGAGAAGGAACATATTTGAACGGGGGGATGGTAACCATGACAATGGTGATGGAATATTTGTTGATTGTAATAATTTTGATGTAAGTGAAGATAGTCTAGAAGAGTAGATGGCTACGATAATTTTCTGTGGCAGATGACAATGATGTGGAGTTACTCATGGATGAATCTTATAGTCGAAATATAGCAAATGATAATGATTTTGAATGTAGTTGGATTGTATCTATAAATGCAAGTACGGTCCATTGTGGAAAATCGGTAAGAATTCCAGAAATGAAAGATGTGCAAGTGAACTAGTTCTTTACATCAAAATATGACCTAATATCAAAAATGCAATTGCTGGATGTGAAATGTCACTTCGAATACATAATTAAGATGTCGAATAAGAGCACTTATGCAATTATTTGTATTGATGAAAATTGCAAGTGGCGCTTGCGAGCAACCAAGATCGCAGAAAGTCCTATTTTTGAAGTTCGAAAGTATAATTGTCATCACTTTTGCTCCAGCAACCATTGGCATGCTTCATATATCATCATTGGAAACCACATCGCCATATTGGTACGAATTCTATCAACTTGATGTACATCCATATTCACTTGTAGAAATTCTATGTATTTTATGGTGAAGATCCTACAATCATAACTACAAAAAAGTAGTGCAATTATTGTATTAATTTTCAACAGTTAAAATTATAAAGTACTATTAATTATGAAATTAATCAATCTTACACATTTTTCTTGTTAGGGATCATCTTTGACATTCACAAATTTGAACTTCTTCGTGCTATATTTGTTTTCACTCGTGACATGGGATTTTATCATCAACAGAATAACCACTTGTAGAAGCAGAAAGTAAGCTTCCAATGCTGCTCTAAGAATGTGACCCTTTAAACTATCAAGCATAAAAATTGTTCGTTCCTCTAAGTCGATTTGAACTGCGAACCAATCATTGCCAGTATAGCAAGGAATATACAAATATCTATAGTCCTTCCAAGGTTTACCAAGCTTCGAAATAGCCCCTTTCATGTAATTGATTAGACTCTTACAAAAATAGAGCTCTTTACTCAGCTGCAACTTGCCATGTGCACTGAAAACAAATTGATAGAAGTATCCAATATGCAACAATCTTGCAGGAATAGATTGGAAAATTTGAAAGCTCTTTCTCGTATCTACTATAGGGCCTCTTTCATAATATGCAAAAATAAACTAATTAATACAAACTGAACTCTTGTGTAACATTATCGTAAAAACATTAAAGTTAGATTAATTACGCTGCCAGTAATCCAACTATCCTCATTCAAAAGGTCGATTAAAATTTTTACTTGAACTTCATAAAAGTGCAATAGTATAACTTCACTGTACATACAAAAAAATCATAACAAAGTTATATTTATGTAATAATATCATTACTTTCACATGTACATGCAATTATATGTAATATTTACCGAGAAGATGCAGTTTCCATCCATTTGGAAAGAGCCTCAACCTTTACGGGATCTACTTCTCGATAAGGATCATATACATTGATATCTGACAACTTTCTCCTCTTTGTCGAGTTCATGAAGGGAGAATACAATAAGCGTACTTTTCTCTTTGGACGATACCCTTGACCTTTCGGTGAATCACATCCTACCTCCTCATTTTTTACACTGTCACCTATATGTTGCAAGTACCAACAATTAGAAATCTAAAACTTGTGCCAGTTCAATGTAATAACATGAAACTTAACTTCAAATTGCTTTTTACATACCTTGATTGGATTTATTCGTATTCACCTTATGTTTCTCAAGCGTCACGAAAATCAGCGATGCATTTCTCTACGTCATGATGGTCCTTTTTTACTATTGTTTCTTTTTCAACACCATCTTCGACCATTTTTTCCTTTTCTTGCTCTTCCATATCATTCCCACATCCAACCTCAGGTTCATTCCCTCCATTTTTTTTGACTTCCTCTTCTAACTTCAAGTTCTCCTAAAGCTCTTCTACCTTTCTTTCATATGTAGGCACGTCCGTCACATTATCAAATCCAGCCTCCTTTTCCAACCCACCCTTCGGTTCATGTCATGGTATATAAGCTTTGCTATAGTGGCACCATCAAATGTACTAGTCGTTGAATGGAATCGACTCACCATAGCCAATTCTACTAACCTGTCAACCTTTTTCTCCACTTGATCAAGTCGAGTTGATATGATTGCTTGCAGCCTCCCCTCAAGTTTTTCCATTTTCGTGCTCAATAAATCTACTATATTCATCTTATGAGAAAACAATGGTGGTTAAGATGCTTTAGAAAAAGTGTTGGTGGAATGCATGATGTCAGCCTCGTCTCATTCGAATGGTGTGAAGCACTCTCATCTTCTTCCACGATTGGTTTCAACTCTTTTCAATAGGCCTCCTTGAGTTCGACTTCGATGGAAATTAATGTAGGATTAACCTCCAACTGCAAAATATAAAGTCATGCAAATCATTAGTCATTCACAAAACTAATTCCACAATTTGTTTCCATTAAACTTTAAAAAAGACAATTTTACCTCCTTCAAATTCAACATGTTATCAATGGCGGTAGATGCTAACCTCTTCGACATTTCCCAACTGACCATGCTTAGAATTACATTTGGATATTTCGTAACGACCTTTATTCCCAAGGTTGGAATTGCTTCAAATGCCCAAACATTATTATCTCAAGACACAAATTGATATATAAAAAAATAATACAAGTGAAGTGTATTGTTTGTTTATACCATTATAGCGAGGAGAATGCCATGCAACGAATATCAACAATTTGACTCTCCTCCAATGTCCAAACTTTTGAATTTACCTCTTATTTCATGTTTGAATATACTGCTTGTGTATTTGAAAGAAAACTTTCCTCATGGATACGTCTCGAACCTGTTGAGATCATCCACCAATCCAGCCACCATAAATCGATATAGGTATTTTCCTCCGTAGCCCACAAGTCGTACACTAAGATTACAATCAAACTTAACTTATACTTATTGCTCTTTCTTTTCTTGCAACTTACAAATGCATTGTAAGCATCTCCCTTCGTAATCTTACCCCCACATTACTTAAAGTACTCTTTCACGATCTAACACTCTGCCCCCAAGGTCTTATCTACGTTGTTATCATCACTCACATTCAAGCCCATAACTAAAACAAATTCTTCAAATCCAAACCTTGCTTGTTTCTCTCCTATACTAAACCAAACTTCTTTTTTGCTGGTCTTTATCTTTCACAATAATAATTGATGTACAACTTGCGAAGCCAATCTTATATCATTCAACCTAAAGAGAGATCCGAAGCAGCTCTCACTAAGCTTGTTTTCGTAATTTGTATCGAGCTTCTCATAAATATCTCGCACTATTTGAAATTTGCATCTCATCGTAATCGTAGCATCAACTTGAAGAATGTTTTCCATAGCACTGCAAATTATAAAATATATACAAATATTAGCACAACTGATGGTAGTAAAACACATAATAACAAATATAAAAAATAGAAATATTAAAACAAATTACCTAGTTCTTTTAGTTTTTTCTTTAGTATGAAATTTAATAACAGGCATTATCATTGCTAATAAGAAAGTATATTTTATTTGATATTCACTTATAGTCATTATTACTTGGCGTGCTTTAGAGAACTTGTAAATACAATGTATTATAAATTGTGCACTCGATGGCTTCATAGTTAAATGTCTTCACCTTAGTATAGTAATTTGCTCATAAATCCAACATTTTTCATTTTCTAAATCATTTAAACCTAACATAAGAAGTCATTTTTCTTTTAAACAACTGGTAAACTTTTTAGAAATTATTCGATCTTTCCTGGAAACAGAAACTTTTTTAGATCAATATATTGGTTTGCAGTTTCATTTTCTAACTCGCCTACAACAAATCACAAATATGAGGAGGTTCTCCCCAAAACACAATTCCTATTTTCGATCGGAGAGCACAGCTAAAAAGACAAAAGGAAAAAAAGAATGAACAATGATAGAACATAAAATGTCATTTTTTTCATCCATTAAAGTTGACATTTTGTGATTAATTGATGCCTAAATGTACTGAGTATCCTTATATTTTGATTTAGATTGCAACTGGATGATTATGGCATAAATTAGAAGAAATGAGCTAAAAATGACTAAAATGAAAGAAATCAAATGTTGAAAGACTAAAATGCAAATATCCAAAAGTTGAACTGGAAGGCGAAACGAATGACTGAAAAATTTGAATATTGTTCAATACGTTCACGGATAATATTACTAATTTCGTCGGCTCGAATGGTTACCATGAGTATTTCTTAATTATTTTTTATTTTTAAAAGAAAAAAAAAAAAAAAAAAAAAAAAAAAAAAAAAAAAAAAAAAAAAAGAGGATGAAAGTTCAGGGACAAAGTTACAATTAATCCATAGATGTAACGAGCGATGGAATAAAGATTCAAGAGTGTTAGAAGTCAAACGAAAGAGAAAAGAAGTTAAAGAGATGAAATACAATCAAACCATAATCACATTTTATTTCCAATCGAAAAAGTTATGCACCAGTTTTTAGCATCATATTAAGACCCGTTTTTGACATGGTAAACGATCGAATTGGAAGATGACATCTTGAATCACCTCAATCGGAATTGGGAGAAAAAGTTATGACAAAAATACTATACGATGTTTGGTTGTTAGAATCATGCCTAGGCGCGCCCTCGCCTGTAGAAAAGGCACGCGCCTAAACCGAAAAAGAGAAGCCTGAGGCTCTCCCAAACAAGCCAGGCGAGCGCCCTAATTTACACTTGGCGTGCATCTCAAGAGAAATTCGAGAAAATTCTTTCTTTCCTTATTCGATTTTGGTAACAATCTCCTTGGCATCCTTTAAATACCAAAGCATGCACTAAACACAATGTAAATTAAGTTGTCTCAGATGGGTGGGAAGAAGCAATTGAACATCACAATGGAAAAAAGTCCTCCAGCCACATACACAGCTCCCACAAAAAAAAAAAAAAAAACTATGCTACAAAAAAACTTCGAAACGGTACACCTCAGAGAAAATAAAAGCTACTCAATTCCAATATAAAACCCAACCAAATCATAAACCTCAAATTACTATAAACTTATTTATTAGGAAAAGGCCAAACCTTCATAGCCCAAACCTAATCAACTGAAGCTAACTCCTTGCAATCCACACAAAAAAAAGAGCTAAACACCCAAGCAGATGTCGACCGAATCTAACCCTGAAATGCAAAGCTAGAATTAGCCAAACCACCCAAAAGCTACAAACCACTAACCTGAAATAGCCGAATACGAACTGAAAATTCTGTAAATTTATCTAAACAGAATAATAAGATTTAAAAATTCCAAATAGAATAAGAGATTTTAAATCTTATACAAGAACACACAAGAACTCAATGCATTTTGAAGGAGAATGAGAAGATATGGCTTTAGACTTTGAAGGAGAATAGTTTAATATTGAAGGAATAGTCAATAACCCAAACAAGAATAAGAAACCAAAGAATGATGGAGACAAAAGAATCATTAATAAAAAACTCATAAATGAGTTCATGGACGATGCTTTTAAAAAATAAAGAATGATCTGTTCTACAAGTAGAGGCTAGAAACAATCAAACTTTGAATTATCAAGATAAAATTGAAATTGAGAAGCTCAAACTTTTCATATGCAAGAAAGAAACAGTTAGCTTTAGCCTTGCAAATCACGGATATCAAAAAAGGAAAAAAAAAAAAAAGCATTCTTAAAGGACAATAAATAGTAAAAGATACTAATTTTAGCAAAATTCACGACATTTACAAACTTACAGACAAATTCTCTCTTGTATGGATGAAAACTAGACTTTTGCCAAAAAAATGTAAAATGGGATGAAATATTAAATTTAATAAAGTACATAAACAGCGAAAAAAAAAAAAAAAAGAATATGTAACGCAATGAGTAATCAAAATCAACATGCATCAAAACTTACTTCTGCACATAAAAAATCCAATATAAAAGACAATACCATAATATCTGGGTAAACCCAATAAAACTACTGAAAATCAATCAAAAATTATCCATAGAAAAGATTTAGCATAATACCGTAACAATCATCTCGTCACGAGTGCTACTATTACAATCAACTATTTTTTCTTACATTCAATAAAACAAAACACCAAAAGCTAAGTAGCCACAGATCTTATCGCAAAAACAGCAAAAGTAGGATGATTGAAGACAAAACGAAAGAAAATCAACTTAAAAATTATTCAAACTGGTCTTCAACTCCATGAATGCCACTCCTAAAAATGAAAGAAAAAAAAAAGATTTTCCCATCCGAAAAAACTAGTACATAGAACATATAATATTTAATTTGGAAAAAAAAAATTGTAAAAAGAGACAAAAACTTCATACCATCTGGAGTGAGAGCATGAGACAACTTGCTCAAAAGAGCTAGAAAAAATAAAATCCGAACACCCATTTGCATGTCTTGATTCAAATGGGTATTTCTTTGTAGTTTCTCCTGTAATTTTCCTTTTTCTTTACTTTCTTGAAAATAATGTGGGATTATAGAGAGTAAATTCGATCAGCCTTTTAGAGAAGGTTGTTAGAGGGGAATATTAGATGAAGAAGGGAAAGAGGTGGGAAGGGTTTTCACGTGTAAGTTGAAATGAAAAGAAAATCCTCAAATCTTCTTCTTCAACTCCATTTTACAATGTAAGGGTAAAAGTGTCTTTTGACAGTTTTAAATAATTAATATTTCTTTTCTTTTCTTTTCTCAATTCTGGTCAAAAGCCATTTGGACAATTTCCTTGTCAGTGGTGGCCATCTGAACTCATTTCCCAGTAATAAATTCACAAAATAAAATAGTAAATTGAAAAGCTGAAAATGGTGATGGCATATTTGGTAAAGTGGATCACGTAACACGAGACAATATACTACTAAGGCCCTATTTGATTTGTTCCAATTTTCATGGAAAATGGAAATTATTTTTCATATTTTTCATTGTTTGATTGCAAAAATTTTCCCAGAAATTTGTTTTCCTCCCCCTCCCCTTATGCGAGTGATTTGCTTTGGTTTTGTGAAAAACCAATTCCCATGATTTTCACTGTACACACATCATATTCAGCTAATTATGCAAGCAGATCAATAACTTCGGTTCAGCTTGACATTGGATTCAGGCTGATTGTAGTCAATCTAATCAGGCTCAGAACATACACTACAGATGAAACAAGAAAACTCAGAAGCCAAATGAAAACAGTTGAAGAAGACTAGTATAAGATGTCAAGTATCCTATCTCCCTCTCTAGTAAAAGATGTCAAGTATCCTATGCCCTTCTTTGAAAAGTCTTCTGCTGTGAGGTAACATACAAATGTCTCAGACTGTTCAACTTCCAAATATACTCGGGCAAGTTTTTCAAATTTCTCGAGTCCCACTAGGCTCAACATTTGTAGATTATAGAGCTTACAGATTGAACTTGGAAGTACTTTTATATCTATGTAATTATCCATGCTTAAGTTCCTTAGATGGCTCAATCTCTTAATGGTATTAGGCAACACTTCAAACCAAGTAAAAAATAAATCCAAAACTCGAGAATATTGACCTAATATCACAAATAGGAATCTCGAGAATTCCACATAACCAAATAAACGTATGTAATTTCTTAATTTTGAGCAATGGCTCTGGGAAATTAAGTATTGAATTAGTATCATCAAATAACTTTACAAAGCGAGCAGTCTCTGGAATATCTTCTGTGCATACATTTCAGAAACTTTTAAGCTAAGTATTGACTTTGCAACTTCGTACAGAGAATCATGTATACCTTATGTTACGAAAGAAGCACCTGGCAGACAACTTGTCAAAAATCTTATTGCCATTTTCTTCAAGCGGGTCATCGTGGAGTCTGGAATCATACCTTGTCAATCCATAGCTATATAAGATTTTCCTTCAGTACAGATTCCTTCTAATATATTGTCCAATTGTATTTTCTCTTGGATGGCTTGAATCTTGGCCCGTTTATCTTTCTTTTTAGTTTAATTAAAAGCCTAACCCTAGACTATTTATAAGATTACAACCCTTGCTATTTTCTAGTGTGGTTTGTGTGCGTGAAAAGGAGATTTTCGGTTGTCCCCTGAAGTGTGTGAAAAACGACCTTTTGAAGTGCCAAAACTTGTTGATTACTTTGTGTAATTAGTAGTTCCTTCATAGCATACCATTATGGTGTTTTTCCCATACCTTTGTGACTACAAATCATCACTGTTTCTTGTCCTTTGTGGGCAAGATTGAATAGCAACTAACGTGAATTTTATTGGTTATGGATTAGAGCCAGTTGGTTCGGTTGTTTGTTAGAGAAAACTACATTGGACTGAGCTCGAAAAATATCGATTTGAAGATCTTTGGAGAGAGCTTCCACAACATTTGGTATCAGAGCTTCAAGGTGGTGGTTTGGGCTTGTGAACCATACCAAAAACATCCAAAAAAACTGACTGAAACTAGGCATAAAACTGATTGTAGAAACTGCCAAAAAACTATGTAAAATTCGAACTTGTTTGTACAATTTTTGGACAATCCAGAAAGAGTTTTATGAAACGGAGACCATTGGTGTGACATTTAGGTGGTAGCGGTTCAGGAGGTCCGATGTGTAAGACAGTCCGACGGCTCGTGAAGCCTACGCGTAGGGGCACATGACACATTTTCTAACAAGGGGTTTTCAGGCAGTTTGTTCCTCAAGTATTTCTGACATTTTGGTGTTATTAGTTTTCTGTTTCAAGTTGTACAGTAGAATCTGGACACAATTGTTCTTCGCACGTTCGAGAAACGATAGTAATTGGTTTGTTACTGTAGTCGCTAAAGACTTTAGGACGAATAGTAGTGGTCCTAAAGTGATAAATTCATGCCTCTCCTAGTTTACGGACTCGGATAGGTCCGCTCTGGTATATTGGTTTATCCCAATTTAAATTTCAGCATTAGTAAGTCATCCTATGGGGTGAAGTTAGGTTTATGGTTATCGTAAACGAGTAACATTGCTTGTGCTAGAAATTTAGGAGTTATTTGCCATATTTGAAGTTTTTTTTTTCATTGCAAGTTGGTAGTTGATTTTGTATTTTAACTGTCATATAGTCATTGTGTGAGACTGCATTGCATGAGAATTCGAACTTTTGTTTAGATACATTTGTGTTGTATTGATTATCCTGTCAGAACACCTGAACTTCACCCGTAAAAACATTCCCTTAATCTAAGATCATGAATCTTATGAAACTCTGGGAATCTTGAACGATGTATATTGCGACTTTAAGATTACTTTGTGTGACCTATTTGTACATTCGGTTGTTTTGTTTTTCTAAAAATGTCTTCACATTTTGAAATTGAAATTTTTAATGTGAACGGGGTTTTTTCAATTTGACAGCAAAAGATTAAGGGTATTTTGATCCAACAAAAAGTTTCAAAAGTCACAGATGACAAATTTCCTGCAAACTTGACTGAAGAACAAAAAGAAGAGTATGATAAAATTGTGTACTCTTCAATTATTTTACACCTGTCTGACACTAATTTTAGAAAAGTAGAAAAACTTGATTCTACCAAAAAACTTTGTAAAAAATTGAAGGAGTTATATTTGCTTAAATCCACTCCTAATAAGTTGTACTTACTTAAAAGATTTTTCAGCTTTAAAATGAATTGGATCTTGACGACAATTTGAATGTATTTAACAAGTTAATTTAAGACATTGTTAACCATGATGAAAATGTGTCTGAAACATATAAAGCTATTATTTTACTTAATTCCATACCTGATTCATATAGAGAGGTTAAACATGCAATTAAGTGCGGAAGGACACCTTAACACCGAGATTGTCATAGACTCGCTTGGGAGTAAAAAGATGGAGTATAAAAGAGGTATAGTGGCCTCATTAGGCTTCATCGAGCCATGTCTCCTTGCAAGAAATGCCTTAATATGTTTAGCTGGTGATGGTGGAGGGAATGGGCGCTTAAGCAATCGGAGAGGAGTAGAAGTGATGCTATAATTTGCAAGTGAGTTCTTAAAGGGACTTGGACTGTAAAATGGGAATTTTGGAGTTTTCCCAGTTGAAGAATTCGGAGTATGTTCATTAATTTCATCTGGGATTATTGGATTATCAGAAAGATTTTGAGAAGGCTCAACGGGTTTTCCATGACATAGTCCCATGGAATCAATATCCCAATTGTGAGTCGATTCAAGAAAATAAGCAAAACCAATGAAAAGGATAAAGTTAGACCCTGTGATAGAGAAATTTAGAAAATCAAACCATTTGAAGCAAAACTCAAAGTGGAAACTCAAGAAAGATAAGATTTTCAAACTTTATGAGCAGACCCCAGGAATTAAAGTAGAATTCCACATGGAAATCAATTTCCGAGGCAAATTCAAGTGGGATAAGAAAAACCCAAGAAGAGAAAAAGATAAAAGCAAAAATTCGAGGAAGAGAACAGGAAAAGGGCTTAAACTTTCTGTTGTATTGTAATGATCAATGCCAAGACAATTAATCTACTTGTACAAAGTAGGTTAACAAAGTTTGTTGACAAAATTAATGTTGGCAAGATCTAGGCTATTAATCTGTTTTGAATTCAAAAATTGTTTTTGAAATGAGTGATAAAGATATTGCCAACTTATACTTTGTCAACCAACTTTGTCATCCTCTTTTGTAGGTGTAGCATCACTCATGCCAAGAACACTTTCTGAGAGGGAAAAGAATTCTACTACAGAAAAAAAATAAAAAATAAAAAAAGCTAAGCATAGGCTGCAAGAAACGATCATTGACGGGTAAATAAAATCGTATGAATATGCTTTTTCAATTTATAAGGAAAGCGTGTTACATGTAATTGTTTTGGCATGGTAAACCTGTTTAAAGTTGGCAACCTATATGTATTATTATTCCTCACCATTAGTTTACCCATATTTTTATTGGCAATCGTGTGGAATTATTTGGCGAACAATAATAATAATGATAATTATATATAAGAATTTTTTACTAGTTGTACAATCGAAATTGACAACATCCTCCCATGTGTGGTGTGTGACCACGATTGTACACGTGGCAAAATTTAAAATTAAATTTCAGCCTCCTGTCACAAGCCTGTCCCCAAAATCTACCCATTTAGCATTTTTGATATAAAGTTAGACATTCTCAGTAGTCAAGTACATTTGCTAATTTGATATTAACATTAGCACGATGAATTATTAATGTATTCCTTAATCGTTATGTTTAATGGTATTCAAATTTTAAATTAAATTTGAGTTGATGAGTTCTAAGTTCGTAAGTAATGCAAGTTTGCATAAGTCGAGGCGCCTCTTGAAATTTTTAGTCCATAAGTTTTTCCTATAATTGTTCTTGTTTGAGAACTCTATTCAACATTTTGGTCACAAATTCTTAACAGAAATAGTAAAAAATGACACAAAATAATCAGAAATCGAAATGCCAACTAGCCTAGGTTGGAACAAATACTGAATCAGAACCAGAGTGCAAGGGCACCTTGATTGAAATGGATTATCTAACTTTCGATTATTACCTAATTTTGTAAAAATCTCGGGAAGTTGATTAAATCTCTAACTTACAAAATATTTATAGAATGTGTTATAGAAAGAAATTGTATTGAATTTGATACTTTGTATCGATGCCTTATGATAAATTGAACATAATTAAACGAAAGTTGTATTAACTGTTCGAACCATTTCTATGGCCCCTTTTAGGAGTGATTTTTCATCTCAAAAAATTGATTTTTTTACTGTTATTTCATTATTTCAACTGTAATTTTTGATTTCTTCTTTCACAGGTGGCCCCTACTTTTCTTTTAACGGTAAAAAAATTAATTCTCAAAATTACTGCCGGACATACCCTATATATTGGATAGTGGTACGGAAATTATGATGGTGTGGGCCAGCACATTCTGACTTAAACATATATATAACAGTGTTCTCCATTAATCAATTCCTATTAGGATTAAATTATAATTTATATCCAAAATATTTAAAAAAAAAAAAAAAGATTAATGAGCTGACAATACAAATTACCTTCTCAAATCTAATAGAAATAGAAGAATTAAATTATGTTACCAAATACATGTTCCAACAATTTTCTTAATTCACAGCAGAAAAAAAAATGTTATTAAGAGCCTGTTTGGGCCCGATTTTTTCACCCAAAAAATTGATTTTTTGACCGTTATTTTACTATTCCAGCTATCATATTTGACTTCTTCTCTCACAGGTGGACCCCACTTTTCTCCTAACGGTTAAAAAATCAATTCTCAAAATCACTCCCAAACAGGCTCTAAGCGTATGGTTGGCCCCCATTTTTTCGGACTCCTTTTTTTTTTTTCAAAATTCGTTGTCAATAACACAGTCTCCTAAAATATAATTTTAAACGTAAATTAAAAAAAAAATCTTACTTTTTAATCACACATTCTCCAACAAAATATTATTCCAAAATACATTTTTGTCAAAAATGGGGCTTAAAAAAGTGCTAAACAACAACAAATATCTTGCGATTAGGCTGGACTGATCTATTACTCTGTTGGTTCACAAGTACAATCTTTGTAACTTCATGATATATCCAAATATTTAATTCCAGCTATAGCTCTGTGTGCGGTATCTCAAAATGGATTTGTGGCGTGGGCAACACATAAAGTGACTAGAGTGGTTATAAATAGGGGTGGATCCAGGATCTCGATTGAACTAAGGCGGCCATTGACTATTGATCGTCAATGGTTGCAATAATGAGATTGTTTATTAATATTTAATTAAAATACTATTATAAAATTCTTTTGAATTTGCAATTAATTTAGAGTTCTTCGAAGAAAATAAAAATCAATCATGCTACTTGCATAATTTTTTGACAACTTCCTTGATAGATGCTAAGGTAATATGCATCTCAACCCTTGATTTGAATTTCATAAAATCAATAAAAGGCCAATATGCATGCCAGCTTGGTATCTGTCAAAATAAGTAAATTAATTCAATAAAAATGGATTATAGTTGTAAATAAACATAAAAAAGACAAGAATATTTAAGGATGTCAATTGAGATCATTGGCTCGAAAAAAGCCCAAGCCGACTCTGCTCAAGGTTAGGGGCGAGCTCCATTTTAAGGTTCTCCGCCAAGCCCGAGCAGGCCCATGTGGCTCACCGGTTCGAGCTCGGACCTTAATTTTAAAAACAAAAAAAAAAAAGGAACAAAGACAGGTGGCTCCCTTTCGAGTGCCATAAAAAATAAAAAAATAAAAGAGAGAGAGAGAGAGAGAAATCGAACCGGCCCGGCTCGGCTCACTAAAGCCTGAGCTTTTCAGCTCAGGTCAAGACTTTTTATTGCCAAGCTTTTGCTCGGCTCGAGCTCGGAAAAAACTCGTTTGATTTTAATCGAGACAAGTCCAAGCCTGAGTTTCGATTCGCGACCTGACTCGATTTGACTCGTTGACATCAGTAAGTATATTATAGAATAAATACATGGGGAAAAATTCTTTTTTTAAATAAGCGCAAGCATAATTGTCCATTCATGACTCAAGCGCTAAAACAATGAAAGATTAGTATTTGCAATCGCCAAAATAATAAGTCAACGTTTAATTGATATATTTATAATAAATTAAGGGTCTCAATGATAGTTTTTCTTATTATAATATTCCCATTTTTTCTCTCTCGCAATATTCTTGACTTTTCAAAGTCAATCCCACCTCCTATCTTCGTCATTCCCTTTATTCTTTTCCAGTTGAAGCATTGCCCGAGTTCTTGGGGGAGAAGTTTAGCACTGGATTCCATGTTGGTCGTTTTAACTGGATGTATTTTCCTGCTGCCACTGAGCTCGAGAGCATTATAATGGATTAGCTAGGGAAGATATTAAAGCTTTCCAATCAGTGGCAGATCCAGAATTGAAAGTTAGCTAGGACGATCGTTTATTATTGACTGTCAATAGTCAACGACCGTAATAACAAGATCTGTTCTACTATATTATTTTTGAGGAGCTTATGAATTTCTTGCATAATCCAATTTCATACTTTACTGCCTAACATTAAATACTTTAGAAATAGAATATTAAAAATATAATTTTCAGCATATGCAATTCTAAAATCATACTAAAATGCCACAAAAATCCACCTTGTGAAATCTAGTCTACTCTTTATTTCATTTCTTGACACGAGATAATCCAACCAATATTGGTTTTTGCAGTTTATTTTCTCATTTTAAACAAGCATAATATTTTTAGTTAGGGTCCTTGTGGCTTCTATTTGGCAGACCCAAGTACAAATAAATATGATTATTGGTATTTTACTTGGCGAACTCAAGAAGTTTAAAACTCAATTGTCCTCAAAATTGCATTGTATAACAAAGTGCAACTCACTTTTATCAAGTTCCAAATGTTGATCTCTCCAAGTTGCCTCGAGGAGGAAATTCCATTATGAATTAGGTCATATAAAAATGACACCCTACAAAAACCAATAAATTTAATAGACGAAACAACCCAAGCATTAGATATTGAGGGTAACAGTTATCTTCAATACCGTAAAAAAATATTTTATATTAATATAGATAATAAACCTTAAATTACACTACAAACAAATGATCAGAAGATTAATAAGATAATTCACAAATTCCTCAATTTATCATTTATCACAAATATCACAATATTCACAAATTCACACAGTAATTTGCTTCTGCTAAATTCATCTCCAAGCCACTTGAAACCCATGATTTTTTTGTTCTTCTTAGCATCTACTAAATGCTATTACTTTTTTGCCCTAATTTTATGGTAGATTTAATTAAATAATTTATTCAATCTCAAGCCTTATCAATTCTTCCAATCTAGCCAAAATTCTACAATCTTTGATTGTAGCCCTAAACATAATTTTCTTATGATCATTTTCAAATTTCCACCAGAATCTACTTCTTTCAACTCGGAATGGTGATAACTCGTTTATCCCGTCTAAAGCATTCCACATTAAAAGTCACATAGTAATTTGGAAAGAAATACTTACCGACAGTGATGGCGTTCTAAATTGAATATAATAGGAGAATTTGATTGAACACCACATTAGATATGAATCTTGATTTAAGATATAAATGTGATCAATTAGTGAAATTATTCTGCCCTAATATTTGTTCATTATTTAATTTCTAAACTAATCTTGTATGCATCCAATTGTTTTCACGAATTTAGATTAAAAATTAAACCTTACAAATTTTTATCTGCTTTCATCAAATAGTGGTTAGAGAAAATTTGAATTAAGTGCTAGAGTCTTCATGGGAATGACAATTCGGACTCATAGGTCCATTATACTACTTGTTACGATCCGTACACTTGTGGACACAAAATTGACAAGAAGTTTTTGGCACCGTTGCCTTTGGGGGTGGCATTAATGTTACTCTAGAACAGCTAGATCAAGGCTCTCTTTAACAATGGAAAACTCTTTTATGTGGTGCTTGATGTGTTGGCCATTAACCTTGAAATTTTCCTTTATTGGGTGGTGCAATTCAACTGTGCCATAGGGAAACACTTGGGCTATCGTGAAAGATCCGAACCATTTGGATTTCAATTTTCCTAGGAAGATTTAAGCCCGGATTATACAGGAGCACTTGATCTCCCACTTTGAGAATTGGTTGCTAAATGTTTTTATTATGCCATTGTTTTGTCATTTCTTTGTGGATGGATGCACTTTCGTAAGCTTCCTTCCTGAATTCTTCTAATTCATGCAATTGTAAAATTCCTGTTTCTCCAGCATTCTCGAGGTCCATGTTCGACTGCTTCAATGCCCAGTAGGCTTTGTGCTCAAACTCAACTGGTGGATGGCACAATTTTTCGAATACTAGTAGGTATGGGGACATTCTAATCGGTGTCTTGTAAGCTGTGCGATAGGCCCACAAAGCATCGTTCAATTTCTTTGACCAATCTTTCTGAGATGCATTCACAGTGAATTCCAGAATTCTCTTAAGTTGTCTATTAGAGGTTTTGATATGTCCACTTGTTTGGGGATGGTAAGGAGTGTCAATTCGATATTGTACCCCATACTTATAAAATATCGCGTTGCAATAGCCAGTGGCGAAAATGAGTCCCACCATCACTTATAATTGCTCTGGGGAATCTATAGCAGGTAAAGATATGTTTCTTTATAAAATTCATTACTTCCCTTGCATCATTGGTAGGCAACGCCTTGGCTTCTACCTACTTGGAGACATAATCCACTGCCACCAGAATATACCGATTATTATAGAACGATGGGAAAGATTCAATAAAATCCACTCTCCATGCATCAAATATTTCTACCTCTAGAATATTGTTTAGAGGCATTTCATGATGGGTTGATATGTTACCAGCTCTCTGTAGAAAACTGTGGCAATCCTTAAACAGTATTGGCCAAAAGAAATCGCAATGAAGCACCTTTGCTGCTGTTTTTGTGGGGCCGAAGTGTCCTTCATAAGCTGAAGCGTGAACCCTAGAAAAGGATATGTTTCATCTCATCCTCTGGCACACATCTTTTGATAAAATGATCTAGACCTTTCACGATAGCGCAAGTGTTTCCCTATGGCACAGTTGAATTGCACCACCCAACAAAGGGAAATTTCAAGGTTAATGAACAACGCATCAAGCAATACATAAAAGAGTTTTTCACCGCTAAAGAGAGTCTTGTACTAGCTGTTCCAAAATAATTGCAGCACAAAGTTTGGTTAATGACTTTAAAGAAGTACTTCTTGAAAAGCAACCCAAGCTCACCCGTTTATTTGATTCTAAGTTTTTATTTTAATTTTTTGTTCTTTTTTTAATTTATGCTAAAGTAGTAATATTTTCTTTTTATCTTGTAGCATAATCCCAATTGGAGATACATTACGAGTGGATGGAAGATGGAAACTGAGCTATGAAGTGCATGGTGATGATAATAACAAGGAAGGAGGTATAACAAAAAATAAATGGTAGAGACGTGGCGCCATAGCACCACCTCCTGGCCTCTCTTCTGCCCATACCCGCTTCCATTTTTTATTATTTATTTTTGTTTCTATTTTATTTCCTTTATTTTGTTTTCCTCCTGTGTGTGTGTGTGTGTACACCCTCCCACCTTATACTTTAGTTTCCAACTTTCTTTCCTCAATTCTATTTCAACCTTAACTCTCTCTTTTTCTCCCCTTTCTTCCTTCTAAAATTTCTTCCATAATTCTCTTTTACACACATCATCTTCACAACTTCATTTGCATAAATTTAACTTATATACATACCATCAATTCATTGGGCTTGCTACAAGTGAAAAGGTATGTGTTTATATGTATTTTGGTTTGTAATAGTAATGTCTGCTAAATGACCCCCAGTACTTGTATAGATTATGAAATTTCTAATGGGTTGTGGTAGATTTTGGTGGCATAACAACTTGAGATTTTGATTTTATGTGTGGAATTATGTTTGGAGGATTGTAGATGTAAATTGTGCTATGCTTGTAGGGTGTTTGTTGAAATGCCTTAATGAATTTTACTTTCTCATGTGAATTAATTGAACACTCCACCTCATTGTTTAATGAAAATTGTGGTACCTTTGTGGAGAATTGAGTGGTTGGAGGTGATTTAATTTGTTGTTGGGCGAGTGTTTTGATCAGATTGTAATAATGTATGGACTAGTTTGCAGTTTGTTGGTGGTTGATTCACTTTATTTCATTTTACTTCGTGGAGTATACAATGCCACCATGAAAGAAATCAAAGTCCTCAGCCTCTTCATCAAGCTCCTTTGATACCCAGCATATTTGTGAGTGAGGAAGTAGAAAAATATACCATGACATGGTAGTACATGAGAATTGTATTCCACAATCGAGCTTTGATGATTTGGAACTTATGTGCGGGAACAAATTGAGGGAAGAGATTGGGAGTGGTTTACAAGGCAACCACAGCGGGGACCAATACCCGTGGTGCATGAATTTTATGCAAACACTGGGGAGCATCAAGATTTAAAGGTGTATGTAGATGAAAATGGATTTGAACCACAATTAATCGGTACTATGGATTGTCGAACATTGATGAGGATGACTTTTTCAGATTGTGTGAAGAAGGGATAATCAGTCCAACCTATGTAATTTGAGAATTAGCCCACCCAGACGTCACATGGAAATGATCGGGCTCATGTTCCCTAAATGCAAGGCTTGGCACTATTTCATATGTGATAAACTTTTGTCCAGCAGTAATATTAGTGAGGTGACCAAAGAACGGACACTATTAAATTATGCTATTCAGCGGGGCCTAAGCGTTGACATGGGCATGGTTATTTAGATCAACTTCCTGCGTGGACAAAGAGGATCTACAACTGCTAGTTTGGGTTATCTTTCTTTCATTTATGCTCTATGTAGGAAAGGAGAAATTGCTGCTTCTCCAGCTGAGGAGATAGTTCACCTTAAACTCGCCATGAATAAGAAGATAATCTAGCAATTCTCTAGCAAGTAGTTCTTTGCCAATATCCCACCACTAGTTACAAAGGCCCAACCATCCCAACCCAGTGGCCTTCTGCATACGAGTTCCCAAACTGATGATATTACTGAGCGAATTGAGGCTTTGTAACTACAATTGACTTAAAGATACGATAAGCTAGAATCAAGAAATCAAGAAAGATAAGATCGACTTCAGCATCAACTAGATCAGCTGCAGGCTTCCATGAACAATCAATGTCAATAGTTACAAAACTCCATGTATACTCAGTATCAATATCATAATGAGTTCTTTTCAATGCTGGCCTCTGTTTATCCCCACATGTCATTCCCTCCATAGCCAAAATATCCATCTTATCCAGCCAACTAGGATCCATCTCATCATGGCGATGGCAACTACAGATAATTTTAGGAAACTCCTACCTCTCCTTTGTATTTATTTTCATATTGGGGACAATGTAAGATTTAAGTTTAGGGGGTAAATCATTTGGGTTAATTGTAATCGGTTTTTTTTGTTTAGTTGTATGATTGCGTGACTATTATTTAAATTCACATGAATGTGTAAAAAAATATAATAATAAATAATAATAATGATAATTGCATGCTTGTGTGAGTCTAATGGTTTATGGGTGATGATGAATATACATGAGATCATGTGTTAGCTTGTGGACTGTGAAAGATTTATATGCTTGAGTTGAGTTTTTACTTATCTATGTGGGGTAGTATAATATTTATGCACGGGTATTAAGTTTAGTGTTGTACAATAACATGAGAGTTCACATGCAAAGGATAGATGGAAAACTTAAGTGCTTAACCTTTTACCCCATGATTCACAACACCATTTGACGATATATTTAATAATTTGGGTGTTCTAATTGGTGAAAGAAATAATTTAAAACTGTGGTGATTCCATGCACGTAACAAGATTATGTAGAATGTCTTTAACTTTCTGGCATAAGCTTGGTGATGACCAAATGCTAGAAATCTAACCTTTGTAAATTTGGCTTCATTTTATAGAAAAAAAAGTATTGCACTTATTCAGATATGCCTCACGCCTATACATTTTTTACTCCAATTATTAAGTATGTAAGGGTCTCTTAAAACTTGATACCCTTTAGTATGCAAAATCAGGAGTTACAAACTTAACACTTGGGTCAAGAAGAGGAAAAAATGGTAAGGTAATAATTGGAAAAAAAAAATATGAAGAGAAAAAGAGAAGTGTTGGTATAGAAGCACGCAAAAGAACTGATATTGGGGGCTTAGATAATTAGTCTATTTGAATCACTTAGTATAAACTATATTGTTAAAACATTCATAATTAAGGAAAATCATTACATGAATGAATTGTTGACATCACTAGTTGAACTAAACCAAATTAGAGTTGTGTGAGAAATTGAGTAAGATTAAACCTTAGAATTACATCATGGTGAGAGAATAGAAGAAAAAAAGTTTGGGGATATTGAATCTCGCGAGCAAATAAAGGAAATAATTGACCACTAAGAGTTGGTTAGTGATCCAACTTGTGAATGTACGGCGTTACACTGGACTCTTCACACACACACAACTGTTTTGTATGGAATAAGCGGAAGGTTAGCTCTTCC